ACATCTGTCTCAACTGCTAGAATCTATGCACGTCACCTTATAGGCAAAAGGGACTTTGCAGGTATGATTTTTTTTTTTTTTTTTTTGACAGGCAGAGTCGACAGTGAGAGAGAGAGAGAGAGAAAGGTCTTCCTTTGCCGTTGGTTCACCCTCCAATGGCCGCCGCTGCAGCCGGCGCACCGCGCTGATCCGATGGCAGGAGCCAGGATCCAGGTGCTTTTCCTGGTCTCCCATGGGGTGCAGGGCCCAAGCACCTGGGCCATCCTCCACTGCACTCCCTGGCCATAGCAGAGAGCTGGCCTGGAAGAGGGGCAACCGGGACAGAATCCGGCGCCCCAACCGGGACTAGAACCCGGTGTGCCGGCGCCGCAAGGTGGAGGATTAGCCTATTGAGCCACGGCGCCGGCCGCAGGTATGATTTTTTTTTGACAGGCAGAGTTAGACAGAGAGAGAGACAGAGAGACAGAGAGAAAGGTCTTCCTTCCATTGCTTCACCCCCTAAATGGACTGTACGCACTTGGGCCATCCTCCACTGCCTTCCTGGGCCACAGCAGAGAGCTGGACTGGAAGAGGAGCAACCGGGACAGAACCGGCGCCCCAACTGGGACTAGAACCCAGAATGCAGTGCCGCAGGCAGAGGATTAGCCTAGTGAGCCGAGGCACCGGCCCTGAAGGTATGATCTTGAGATGGGACAATTACCCTTGGACCTCATAAGAAGGAAGCGATACTGTCAAAGGAGAAGGAAGGAGTTGGTTGTAGAGAGATTGAAGCTTTGAACATGGAGAAAGGCACCCAGGGCCAAAGAACACGAAGAAAGCATCAGATAGGGAATGCAGTATAATATGGAATTAGATTTAAAATGATCAAGGTGATGTTATTGTAGAAATTTATTTAAATGGACCTACTTGATATTGAGTTCCTGGAACATGGGTGTGGAGAACCCAGCCCTATGGTAAACTTCTCTAGAACAGTATTTCCTGGAGTGGCTGCCTTGACACAACTGAAATACATTATGCTTCTTTTTTTTTTTTTAACATTCACTTTCTTTCCTTTTTTTTTTTTTTTTGATTTATTTATTTATTAGAAAGGCAGAGTTACAAAGAGGCAGAGTTACAGGGAGGCAGAGGCAGAGAGAGGGAGGGGGGGAGGGAGAGAGAGAGAGAGAGAGAGAGAGGTCTTCTATCCGCTGGTTCACTTCCCAAATGGCCGTAAAGTCTGGAGCTGGGCCAATCCTAAGCCAGGAGCCAGGAGCTTCTTCCAGGTCTCCCATGCGGGTGTAGGGGCCCAAGGATTTGGGCTGTCTTGCATTGTTTTCCCAGGCCATAGCAGAGAGCTGGATTGGAAGTGGAGCAGCCAGGACTCAAACCAGTGCCCATATGGGATGCCCTGACTGTAGGCGGTGGCTTTACCGGTAAGCTACGCCACAGCACTGGTCCCTACAATATACTTTTGCATTCTGTGGGATAAGTAGCTGAGCTTGGTTTTTAAAAGCTGAAATCTGTGCTGAAAAAGACCTAGGTTGTTTATTGGCCTTGTGACTTGAGGCACATGCACAGTTCTAAACTGCAGTTTCTTCTGTAAAATGGAAATAATAATTTACTTCCAAGTATTATCCAATTAAATAAAATAATGCATTTCATGTGCTGCCTCAGAGATACCAGATAATAAATTTGCTATTATTATTCTGATGACATTCTTCACCCACCTTCTTGGAGCATTGAAACACCTGACTCTGGGAAGTTCTGTTAACTTTGCAGACCCTTCTAGCCTCCATTCACGACTCGGAAGCTGGAAATAAACCTTTTCAATTGAAAGTGAATGATTTTGGCGGTGGGCTAAGGGCTGTTTTCTGCTCTGGATAACACATTTCTACCACTACTCAAGGTCTAAGAAGGCAACTTATCATTTGCATTTTTCTGGAAGCAAAATGGTGCCTCAGAGTGTTCTTTCCAGAACTCAGACTCAAATTCAAATCCACTGACCTCTCTCTCTGCGTGCGTGCACTGTTTCTCAGTCACCTGACCTCTCTCTTTCACCTGCCCTGAATTTTGACTTTAATGAATAAGTTGAGAGGACAGCATTTGTGCCTTTTTAAGTCACATGGCTGAAAAAAGGAGACGAGGTGATCTTTCAGAAGGAAATGAAACTTGGTGCACTTTGTACAACCCAAGCTGTTATGCAAGCCAGTCCGCAGGGAGTGGTCCTCAAGGCCCCCTAGCCAAGATCCAGCAGCGTGAGGCTTTCCTACAGGGGCCCATCATCCTACGGGGCCATACTCTTCTCTTGGTGTCATGGAATCTTGAAGGTCCAGGAACTCCCTTTTTACCCTTCTTTGTCCTGTGAGTGTTTGGTTTGTCTACAGATTTAGGACGAGAAATCTGTGGTAGGGTGAGGGCAGGTGGCAGTGTTGGCCAAAGAGTGCCTTGTCAAGCTGGCTCTCACATATGTGTATTCACCAGTTCCCATGAACCCTTGCTCCTGAGGCATACAGAGACAGTCAGTTTCTCCTCTCACTTACCTGTTCAGGGTCCTCTCATAGACTCATGGGGATGAAGAGTTGCAGGTAGGGAAATGTTATGTGTCTGCACCACCTACCCCATCAATCCAGACCTGCTGTTTGTAACTGATCTTCAGTTCCATGGAGACCTCCGTTCTTTGTAGTCACTAATAAAAGCTCCAAACATTCTGGACTACTTTCTAATGCCTGAAAATCTCCTGCTAATGCCCAAGTTGAGAAGTCAGAGGTTCCAATTGATTTGCTCTGAACTGTTTGCTGTCTTTGGGTTTGTGTCCCTTAGAAATGATGTTTGATTTTCTAGTTTCTTCCTCTTACTTAACTACACCCAAAATAAATGCCGTAGGTTTTGACGTGGGAAAGCTTAAGCTGTACAAACATGTGCACTCTGCTGATATTCACACCCACAGATTGTACTGCACAATGGTGTTTATAGAGTCCTTGATAAGTCTGAAAAACCATGAACTTATCTGTCATTTCAGGCATAGTACAGACTAATGACTGTTTTACCAAGCCTGAGTCTCCTCCAGTCTCCTTCCTACTCCAATGGCTTTAGCCTCCTCATCCTTGGTTCAGGTGATGGAGCTCAGTCACTTCAGAGCATCTAAGTCAAGTTCAGCATGGAGTCACTCAGTAATTGGTGCTGAGACCCCCATAGAAGGAATCAGTATCCCAAGCAGATGTTGATGACTAGGGAGTCAGAGTGGATACTTCAACCATCCCCCCTCCTTTTTTTTTTTAAGACTTATTTGTTTATTTGAAAGTCAGAGTTACACACAGAGAGAGAAGGAGAGGCAGAGAGAGAGAGAGAGAGAGAGAGAGAGAGAGGTCTTCCCATCCACTGGTTCACTCCCCAATTGACCACAATGGCCAGAGCCATGCCAATCCGAAGCCAGGAGCCAGGAACTTCTTCCAGGTATTCCCACACGGGTATAGGGGCCCAAGGACCTGGGCCATTTTCTACTGCCTACCCAGGCCATAGCAGAGAACTGGACTGAAAGTGGAGCAGCTGGGACTTGAACCAGCACCCCTATGGGATGCCAGCACTGCAGAAAGTGGCTTTACCCACTATACCACAATGCCATCCCCTTGAGCAACATAGAACCCCTGGTCCAGGGTTACGCTGCAGAAGAAGGCCCTGCAAGAACCAAGTCATCCAGTGAGGTCTACCACCAGTTAAATTTGGATTTCAAGTCAATAGATAATAACATTTTATTGTATGTCCCATGCAAAAATAGATTTGAGTATTCATTCTTCAAAATGCCTGAGATCAGAATATGTTGCATCCTGGAATATTTGCATATGCTTGCTGAGATATCTTGGGGCTGGAACCCAAGAATAAACATGAAAATAATTTATGTTTCATATGCACCTTATACACATAACTTGAAGGTAATGTTATACAAAGTTTTTGTACACATTTTCTCTTTTAAAAACAATTGTTTTGTTTGAGAGGCAGAGAGAGAACATGCCAAAAAGGGGGAGAGAGAGAGAGAGAGAGAGAGAGAGAGAGAGAGAGACTTCCCTGCTGCTGATTCATTTCCCAAATACTCACAACTACACCCAGGAGTCAGGAACTGAATCCAGGTTTCTCATGTAGGTGGCAGGAATCCAACTATCTGAGCTATCTACTGCCTCCCAGGATATTGGCAGGAAGCTAGAATTGGGAACCAGAGCTGGAACTGAACCCAGGTATTCCATATGCAGTTGTCTTAATTGCTAGGCCACACATCCACCCCATAGCATGCCTGAGTTTTGACTGTGACCCATCATCTGGGGTCAGGTGTGGAATATTCCACGTGCGATGATGCAGACATCTACTAGATCAACTGCTACATGTGCACTGATCTTGGAACACTTTGAATTTTGGATTTTTGGATCATAGATGCTCTACTTGGATATGTGGTTCAAAATTAACTGGGTATCTTGGATTTTAAGTGGAAATCCTAACCAAGTCAAAGTATTCCAGAACTTTCACAGAGCAGCATTCATATCTTTCCTTTTTTCTCTTGAGATCTCTCATTTTCACCATCTTTTATGTCATCACCCTGAAGGCTGTGGTCATAAGGTAAGGTTAGAGGAAAGCAAGGATCATCTCCAAAATGATGATATCTGCAATTTCATTTCCAATTTACTCAATTGAAACCTACATTCAGGCAGCCCCTTATCTCAATAGAGCACAAAAGGTGGTTTCTTTTTGAACATTAAGAGGCATTTTATAGATGAGAGTAAAAAATGCCTTTTTCTTCAAATAGTTCATTTTTCACAAATTGGCATGCTCATTTCTAATAGTCACCTTGTGGAGAAGATGCTTTACAAAATTAATTGTGAACATCTTATTTTACCTACAAGAATTTTTATTTAAAATATAAAATCAGGAATTAAAAATTAATTATGTTGTTGGTTGTCTTAGGGAAATATTTTCTCTAAAGCAGATAATGTATCATTGAAAATATACAGCTTGATTTTTTGTTCCCTACTCAGGTCCTGCACCTTTCTTAATTTTCTCACATGGAAATAGCATCTTTAGGATTGACCCAGAAGGAACAAATCATGAAGAATTGGTAGTGGATGCTGGTGTCTCAGTGATCATGGATTTTCATTACAAAGAGGAAAGAATCTATTGGGTGGATTTGGAAAGGCAATTTTTACAAAGAGTTTTTCTGAATGGCTCAAGGCAAGAGGTAAGGTCCCATTACCCACAGTAAGTGAGGAATTTTTGTACAGGCTTATAGGATCTACTGTACTCTTACCATACAGATAAATGAAGAGTGTATTATGGTTTAAATGTGTGTCTGGCAAATGCAGATTTTTCATTAATCTGCATTTATAGTACCATATTGTTAAATAAGCTCCCCAGTTGATATTTAGAAACCCCCCAAAGGAGAAAATAAGGCTATGAGTAGAATTTTGAATATTACTAAGTTTATTAAGCCAGACTATCATATTATAGTTAAAACAGATAATTAGCATGATTATTTTCTGTCCCAGTGGTTTTCAGCTGGAAATGAGTTTCCTTTCAGGCTACATCTGGTAGTTCCTGAAAACAGTTTTGGCTGTCATACCTGGATGTGGTTGGGGGGTGGACATGTGGCTGGCCTCTAGCGCGTGGAGGCCGGGCATGCTGCCAACCATCCTGCAAACCTTGGGGCAGCCCCCGATGAAGAATGAGCTGGTGTGAGATGTCAGCTGAGGCCGAGAAGCCCTGTTTATCCTTAGAAAATGTCTGTCAGGTGTTTCAACACTTAATATTTAGGAAGAAAAAATGTTTTTCTTTTTGTTCTCAAGGTGTTTGCACTCTGGAAAAAAAGCAAGTGACAGATATAAAGTATTTCATTTTAAGTACATACAAAGGGTCCTTTATCTTTCTTTTTAACTGGTGGAACCTTTACATGAAACCCAGGAGTGTTCTCTCAATTCACTGGAGATGGATTAAAGAGTGTGTGACATGAGAAATCTTAAGCATTTATTCCCAACATAAAGTGCTCATTGTTTTTTTCCCCCAAAACCAAACCTTTTTCCTTCCAATTATTCATAAAATCTCCAATTAGGTGCTAAGCCATCTCATCACATCTCTAATACTTGCTAATCTCACTTTTAACAAGGGTGGCTACTCATTATTCTCCAGCCATCTGGTACACAGTTCAAAATTTTGAGTCTAAAAATCTGACACAGGAAGAGAAAAAATGTCAGTCCGTTGTGAACTTGCATTCAGTCCTATGAAAGCATTGTCCTAATGTCTAAAATCCCACTATTGTATTTCTTCCCTTTGGTGCGCAGTAGTGAGGGTGCCTTGACTTCACCACAAGAAAGGAGTCATACTTGAGTCAGAGAGCAGTAAACTGCAAACAGCAAGCGTTTTTTTGAGAGAGTGAAAATACATACACTATAGTTAGAATGTGACCTCACTCCAAGAGAAGCAGCCTGTCTCTGAACTGTGTTTAGCATCATATGGGTTGTTTAATGAAAACGGTGATACATTCTAATAAAGGGAGGAATATTCATGGATTTTCTAGGAAGCAGATAAAGATTTCCCAGAATCTAGCTACTGCTGCTTTTCACTCCTTAAATGGTCTGGTGATTCCTGTCGTGGTGGCTGTAGGTGTGTTATTTGGCAAGCTAATCTATGACAGTGAGCATATAATGAGATGGAGGAGAATCCAGATCAATCTTAACCCTCTAAACTGTTACAAATCTGGTCCAGGAATGGGATCTGCTTGTCTTCAGGGCAAGAACAACCAAACCTATATCCTGTAGGCCTCGAGATAATGGGCGCTACCCCCAGGTGACTCGACTGATTCCTCTACTTCCCTGTCTCACTTTGGGATAAAATGTTGCTTATAAAGGATAACCATTAAAATTTAATTTTCCTGGATGAGCTAATAGATACATCAGCAATTTGTAAAATGGTTTGGCTAGATTACTTTGTGTGATGCAGGCATAGAATGGGCTCATGAGACTGTGCAATCTCTGTCCAGCTCCCAAGTTCCATGATGTTGTGTGGGTAGCTGGAACTCCAGAAGGTGGGACTATTTCCACCATGGAAATCACCAATGGTACAAATCAGGGCCCCTGTCTACCCTGCACCCTCTGTGTCCCAAGAAGACTGGTTTGCCTGCCCATGGTTGGAGTTAGGAAATAAGAGAGATTTTGTTTGGTTGTTTCTATCATGAGAGAGTGGGGAACACAACCCAAGGAGAGTAAAAGATAAGCTCTGAAATGCTTACAGGATGAGAGACCAGGGATAGTAGAGGGGAGGAACCTGATGGAAGAGGAGGATCCAGAAGAAAAATATGGATTCCAAAAAGAGATTCGTTGACTTCATATCACTGCTTTGGCAAAGCTTGACCCTGAGTCCAGGGAAGGATCTAGAAAATACTATCAGCAAAGGGAGTTGAATAAACTATCTTACAAGTGGCATTGAAATTCCACTGATACAATAGTTGAAGTTATCAATATCTTATAATTGATTGCCTAATTTCAGTAGTGTATAATTTCCAGCTCTGATAGAAGTACTAGGCCCAGTAGTATTCATATGAAGGCAATTAATTTTGCTGCAGCAAAACAAAGGCACAGCATCTGTGACTATTTTATCATTTAAACAATTTGGGGCTATGTAGAAATGAAGAGTACTTAAAATAGTAGACTTTTTATATATAACAATAAACTATTTTACTGTGAATGGGAAATACTAACAACAATTCTAAAATCTGATTTTACAGAGAGTGTGCAATATAGAGAAAAATGTTTCTGGAATGGCAATAAATTGGATAAATGAAGAAATTATTTGGTTAAATCAACAGGAAGGAATCATTACAGTAACAGATATGAAAGGAAACAATTCCTACGTTCTTTTAAGCACCTTAAAATATCCTGCACATATAGCAGTTGATCCAGTAGAAAGGTAAATTCTGTTTTCAGACACGGAAATATATTTCAAAATCTAATGAAACATTTGTAGAGTCATAACATTTTGAACTCAGGGGACCTTCTCATTGAGCCCACTGTCCTCTTTTCTAGTGCCCAAACAGCAGTTTCAACAGGGAAGTTGCCTGGATTTCAACCAAAGCAGGCTCCCTCTACAAACATTGCTAACTACCATAGCTTTCTGCTATAGAAGCATACCTCGTCTAACGTGAAGTCATGTTGAATTTCCACAAAAGAGTAATACATACTTGTTGAATTGAATTTTCATTCAAAATAGTCAAACTCATCTTCTGCAGAAGCTAGGAGCTGCTGAACACTGAGTGAGCTGGCTGTTTCGGTGACTGATCATGCCCTCAGTTATTGGTCCATGTCATGTGCTTGCTTTTAGGTTTATATTTTGGTCTTCAGAGTTGGCCGGCAGCCTTCACAGAGCCGATCTCAATGGTGTGAAAGTGAAGACTCTGTTGGAGATACCAGAAGGAATAGCAGCTGCATCCTTGGATGTGTTTGATAAGCGACTCTTTTGGATTGGGCACAACACAGATGGAAGCAGTGCTCGTATGTGCTCTTGTGATTATGATGGGGGCTCTGTCCACTGTAGCAAACATCAAGCACAGTAAGTTTTGCTTTTGGTGTCAGATGAAACAGCCATCATTTGAAGTTAGTGTGATGAATTAACTTTACTTTTGTTAGCTGACCTGGTATAATTATTTGACATGTAGATTTTGGAGTCCAGAAAACTGGATTTCAGTTCCCAGATTTATCATTTGTTAGACAAGTGACTTTGCATAGTTTCCATAACTTTTTTTATATTCAGGTTTTGTTAATGTGGGGATAATAATTTCTTGGGATTATTTTGAATACTAAATAAATGCAGAAAAATAACAGAATTTGCCATACAATAAGTTCTCACATGTTAGTCATAATTATTCTTTTTGGAATTAATGTCATATTTTTTATGCACCCATGTTTCATATGATTTGCTGTCACAGTAGCAATGGTCTGTCTAACTTGTGTGGCAAGAGACAGAAGTGTGAAATTGATGAAGCCAGAATCATTTTTACCCTGTTACAATTTTCTTCCCCATGTTCATCACACTTCTGTGATGGTAGCTAGCAGAAGGATGAGACAATGGGGCTGGAGCTAGAATGACATCCAATTAGTTCAGGTAATGATGACACTAATGAAATGTTAAAGTTAATATAATTTTCTAAACCTAAATGAGAAATAATTGCAAAGTAGGTGATTAAATTCAGCCAATAAATTCAAGTGGAGTGAGAATTTAATAAGCCAAGGGACAAATATTTTGCTATTTTATTTTTTTTCTGGTTGTTTTTTAGGCACAATTTATTTGCAATGTCCCTTTTTGGTGACCGTATCTTCTATTCAACATGGAAAAAGAGGACAATTTGGATAGCAAACAAACACACTGGGAAGGAAATGGTTAGAATTCACCTCAACACGTCATTTGTACCACCTGGTGCACTTAAAGTAGTGCATCCACTCTTACAGCCCAAGGCAGTGGACGATGCCTGGGAGTCTGGTGAGTCACCTTTGACCTCACCTGGGGCCTGGTGCATGGTCCTCACTCTCTGCTTGCCCAAGCCAGACAGGGGATGTAGAGTAAGAAAAATAATTTTTTTCTTCAGCTTTCATAAATTCTCAGTTGGAACCTGATAATAGAAGATTGATTAACAAGTGAAAAACCAATAGAAATTTATTAATGTGTATTTCATATATACATGGCAGATACCCAGGGAATGAACAGCTCTCAAAGAAGTGGCTTTGAATTCCAGCTTGTAGAGTATGTTCAATAAAGAACAGTGCATTTATGGAGAAGTGACAAGACAAAGAAAAAGGATTTGGAGTCTCTGCTGGTGGCAACTTGGGGAAGGACAAATAAACAGCAACTCTAGGCTAGTTAGTAGAGTTTGTTAATGTAGATTGCTCCAGAATGATCTCTAGGCCATAAGAGTCTAGAATTGTCTCCAGTGGTTAGCATTTATTCTCCCTGGCAGAGAGGGAAAGAGGATGCATTTTATCTTTGTAAAGCTATAGTTTACTGTTATCCCACACTGCCTCTTAATTATCTACAATTCAACATTCCTTATTTTGAGGCGGCATAATGTCATCTCTGATTTCTCCCATTGCCTCACCCCCAATTTCCAATCTTCCACCAAATCTACCTAGTCTGCCTCCTAAATGCATCTCTCCACTGTCTACTTCCCTCCTCTACTTCCACCAACCTGTTTCAAACAGCTAGTATTTCTTGTCTATTACAGTAGCCACTAGCTGATCTTTCTTTTTGCCTCTATTACCATTAAATAATGACTCTCATCCACTCACTTTCCTGCTTAGTATGTAACCAAAGTCTTCTTACATGTTAAGCTCCTTCCTGCATTTATCCTTTTTCAGACACGCCTCCCTTGGCCTAGACTTCTCTTGAGCTCCAAGCTTAAATGCCATGTCCTCAGATCGCCCTCCCCTGATCAGCCAAAGTAGACCCTTTCACCTCCTACTCTTCTCTCATGCATCCTTCATTAAACTCATCATAAGGTATAATTACATATCAATTTACATCCAGTTTTGATTCTCTTTCCCACTTGAATACAAATGCTGTGCAGATGGGAATAATATCTTTTATATATATATATATACACATATATATGTACTGGCTGTTTATAAATAAATACATTTTAAGTAACAAATGCTAGTAGAATAACTAAAGCTAGTTACAGTTCCTAATTTCTACTTTCAGGTATAATTTTAAATGTTTTTTTAAAGATTTATTTACTTATTTGAAAGAGAGAGAGAGAGACCTTCCATCTGCTGGTTCACTCCTGGAATGACTACAAGAGTAAGTCCGGGCCAGACCAAAGCCAGGAGACTTGGGCTGTCTTCTGCTGCTATTCCCAGGCCACTAGTAGGGAGCTGGATCGGAAGTGGAGCAGCCAGGACATGAACCAGCACCCATATGGGATGCCAGCACTGCAGGCAGCAGCTTTACCAGCAGCTAAACCCCTGTTTAAATTCTTTAGCATATAATTATTTGGATTTTGAAAAATGTGTTAGGTTTTTAGATATTTTTACAGTGGTTAGCTTGCTCAATATGGCTTAGATGCAACATAAATTATGCTACACCAACATATCACCCTTTGGAAGAACTTTATTTCAAGAAGGTTTAAAAATATATTTAATTTTGTTCCCAAATGACCCTCTGAAGTATAGAAACGGAGATGGAATTGTTTGCTTCCTCTACATACTTCCTGTTGGATGTCATTTGGGTTTGCTGATAGTGTGGAAAACATTACAGATGAGAGGTCCCTGCCATAACTAATGTATAAATATGTTCACACTTGCCCTGGACACAGCTCCTGAAAGGAGCTGTAGAGACAGAACAGGAGGACAGGCCTGAGGTTGTGCAAGGGAAGCTGGAGTTAAGGGGGAATCCAAGTTCTTTCTTGTATCCTTAGGAAGGAAACTAATAATGATGATGCTTTTCCTCTAATTTCTTTAAAAACCTAGCTAGAAGCTGCAATTTAACTTTTGTAATGACATTGCTTTCCATGCAAGGAAACAGGAACTGCAAAGAATCAAAAAATTCCCAGAGATGAAGCAATTGATGCAATAAGTTACTCTTTTTTTTTTTTTTTTTAATGTGACAGGTAGCGTTATAGACAGAGAGACAGAGAGAAAGGTCTTCCTTCCATTGGTTCACTCCCCAAATGGCTGCTATGGCCAGCGCTGCGCCAATCCAAAGCCAGGAGCCAGGTGCTTCTTCCTGGTCTCCCATGCGGGTGCAGTGGCCCAAGCACTTGGGCCATCCTCCACTGCCTTCCCGTGCCACAGCAGAGAGCTGGACTGGAAGAGGAGCAACTGGGACTAGAACCCAGTGCCCATATGGGATGCCAGCACTGCAGGTGGAGGATTAGCCAAGTGAGACACAGTGTTGGCCCCAATAAGTTACTCTAATTGATTTACTTGAATTTACAAAGAGTTGTGGGAAGCAATTTAACTATGAGTTGTGCCACTACATTATGTAGCATCAACCTGACGGCAACACTATAAATCAAGTGGTAAATAGAGTCCACACATAAAGGCCATGAATGTCAGATACCTCTGTAGGAAATTTTTTTTCCATAGGAAAAAATGCATTTTATTTAATGACCAAGTACACACACATATTCACATGTGTAACTAAAACAATATTTACTCTCACCAAGTGGAATGCATTGTAAAGTGTTCTGCTCTTGTTCTTGCATTTTAAAAGAGTTAGTCACAATTAAGTAAATAAATTTTACAAATCATTAATATGTCAGAATCCATAACTGGTCTAGAGAATTATCAGCAGTAATTTACAGTCTTCTTCCTTCTTAGAATTAGCTCAAAATATTTTTCCTTACTCAGAGAGAGGAAAACTTCACATAGCCTTGATACTGTGTACTCAGGCTGGACTGGGTCATGACATGCAACTGTATAATAGGGCCTTATGTCTGTTCCACATTTGATATAAAATTTGATCTCATTTGATCCCCAAACAACCCTGTGAGGTAGGCAGGGAGAATATTGTCTGATTTACTCTACAGATAATGAAGTTGAGGTTCAGTGAGGTTAAGTAACTTTCCCAGTTATTGTATATGTTGTAGAAGGCAGAGTAAAACAAGGATCATTAATATTTAGGTTGAGGGCCCCTTTCTCTAAACCATATAGTTTCTTAGAGTATAATCTAACCTAAAGTATTTTTATCATTTCCTCCTTTTGTCTCTCACGATTGGTTCAACTTTATAGAAGACACAACAAAAGATTTAACTTGAAACTTATGCCAAGCTTATGCTTCTCTACCTTGGACACTGATGGCCACAGAGCATATATGTGTTTAGATAACAGAGCTGTTTTGACTCTAGTCTAATGGAACATAAGTAATAGGGAAGATCTCAACGGTCAAGGAAATTGAAGAGAGATCAGAGAAAGAGGTATAAAATGGAAGTTATTCATGGGTTTCAGTCCCTTTAAGCTTTGACTTTTGTGAGAGGGTTTAATGTAGATGACACTTGAAGCTTTTGAAGAGGATCTAAGTCTTGATGAGGTTATTCAAACTCAAATCTTGAATGTGCAATGATGATAGGCTATTGTTTTAAAAAACTTGGTACTTGATGCTCTCCCACATTGCTAGGATTTGAATGCCACCCTACACGCTGATTCATGTTTTTGTCCATAAGTGGTCCATGAGTTTCTTTAAATGAAGGCCATCTTAGAGTCCATAGTTATCAGTGTGCTGCAAAACTGCAGGAGATCCAAGGCTCCCAGTGGACCACAGACAGCCTGCCCTCTCCCCATTATGACATCCTCCCTGTAGGAAATGTTGACTCAAGCTGTCTGCAAATACAACTCATTTTCTGAGTGATGAATCACAGTGCCAAAGACATGTGAATAAGTCCCTGAGTCTCATCCACAGTAGTTATAGCTAGGTCTGCCATCATTATCACCATCTCTCTCATTTATAGATAAGCTCATAATTTCCAAAGTATTTTCACTGGCATTTTCTTATGGATTCAACAGAGCAACACTGTGAGACAAAGAGAGAAGGAATAATTATACTCATTCTGTAGTTGAGAAATCCAAAGAAACAGAGTAACTTTTGTAGGATTACATAGCTAATTAAGAATGAATTTTGGAAAAAAATTCCTGACCATCAGTCTCTTGGTTTAGTGTTCTTTCTACCATAAACACATTCTTTCTTCAGATTCCTTCACTATTACTCAAGCTCTTTGATATGGAATTCAAATCAGATAATTGAGAGCCTGAATTTCAGAAGGAGAAAATCTTTGATGATTCATTAAACAGCAGCATCAAACAATGTGGTATGTAATAGGGTTCAGAAAGTCACTGCCAGCTGCAGAGCCATAGGCCAACCTGGAATCTAACAGACAACTGGTCTTAGAGATTGGCTTCTCGTACTCCCAGGATGGGCTTCACATACACACCATGTGCAAAGGGCTTTTGATTTCAAACTGTTACTTTGGCCATCATTAATTTGGCTAAATTGCTTTAGTGCTTTAGAGACCAAGAATTTTTTGAGATTTAGAGACTTTAAATCTCTTGATTTTATGTGTAAATAAAAATATGCAATTATTCCCATGGGAAGATGATGGATCACTTTCATCAGGTTTTCAATGTGTCTGATTTCCTTCACATTTAAAGCCACATGTCTCTAGAAGCTGGTTGGTTTCTCATGGACATTATGCCTGCAATTGCAGCCTCTCTGGTGAGGTGGACAGTGGCACTTTGGTTTACAAGGCATTTAGTAGTGAAGCTACTTTGATGAGATAACAGAAGGATCATATAACCTGGTGGATATTATTTTTTGATGCACATTCTACAAAATTTTAATTATGTGGAAATTAATCATGTTATTTTTTGGGGAAATCCTTTAAAGTGATCTAGAATAGTCAGATTCAACCAAGCTCGTCTGGTTGGCTGTTTATCAAGTGGGATCTCTAGAACCATTGGAATGTTTATGTGTATTATTACTCATTAGGATGA